GAGATCTGCTCTCTTAGCAAATTTTAAGTATACAGTGTAAATTAGTAACTGTATACTGTTACACGTAATATGTCTCACCACCATATAGCCGTTGCACTGCACGCCAGGTCCCAGAGCTTACTCTCCTTGTAATCAGAAGTCTGGAACCTCTGACCACCATCTCCCCATTTTTCTACTCCTCACCCCCTGATAACCACTGTTCTACTCTCTGGCTCTTTAAGTTTGACTTTTTTTGGAGGGGGAATTTTTTTTTAAAGATTTTATTTATTTATTTTTTAGAGAGGGAAGGGAGGGGGGGAGAGAGAGAGAAACATCAATGTGCGGTCGCTGGGGACCATGGCCTGCAACCAAGGCATGTGGCCTGACTGGGAATCGAACCCACGACACTTTGGTTCGCAGCCTGTGCTCAATCCACTGAGCTATGCCAGCCAGGAAAGTTTGACTTTTTTAACGTCCACATGTAAGTAAGATTATACAGTATTTGTCTTTCTCTGTGTGATGTATTTCACTTAGTATAAGATCCTCTAGGCTCACCCATGCAAATGGATTTTTTTATGGCTAATATTCCACTGTGTGTGTGTGTACATATCCATACTGATAGCATATTTTCTTTATCCACTCATCCATTTATGGACACTTAGGTTGTTTTCATATATTAGTTACTGCGAACAATGCTGCAATGAACATGGGAGTGCAGGTATTTCTTTGAGATACTGATTTTATTTCCTTTGTGTATGTACCTAGTAGTGGGATTACTGGATCAAGTGGTAATTCTTTTCTTTTTTTAATTTAAAACAATCTCATAGTGTTTTCCAAAATGGCCATACCAATTTGCATTCTTACCAAGAATATGCAAGGGTCCCCTTTTCTCCACATCCTCACCAACAAGTGGAACTTTTGGCTTTTTCTGATTCCTAACCCCTAGCACCTCTGTTAGATATTTAAATTAGTCCTTGTCATGTCATTAGTTCTGCTGCTATTAAATGAAAATAACATAATTTTAAGCTTCTTGGAGGCAGTTTTCTCCCTATATTGTATGGTATTTGTATCTAGCACTGTTATCACTAGAATGAGCACAATATGATTGTTGTAAGAGTCAAATAAGATAATGTTAATGAATGCAATCTTTAAAGTATAAAGATTTATAAAAGTACAGTTGTGGTTGTTCTTCCTATATGAGAGCTCCTCTCACAGAAATTTTATATATCACTCTGGGGTCTTTGAGGAATCATTAGATAAATAGTTTAAATATATTCCAATGATCTTTATGAATTTGTGTAATAAAAGTTGCTATCTGAACAAAAATATAAGTGAAGAAATTGGGGTTAATATTCAAAGAATGAATTGGCCTCTGCAAACCTCTTTTATATTATGAAAATATACATGTTTAATTGCTTTTCGCTATTAAGAGAAGCAAATAGCAACCTTGGAGTCAAGTCATGTAGAAGTGTTCCAGTTCTAACATGAGCAAGCTTCATGCCTATTGGTGAGCTACTGCCCCCCTCTGTGGCCCTGTTTATTTGACTGTAACCTGAGGGGGTTGGATGCTGGATTTTGACTAATCCCTGTATCTGTTTCTCGTCTGCTTGTCTAAGGTCTTTGGTAGATTTAAAAATGAAAATTTTCTTGTTTGTACAAGATATTCTTCCTCATTTATTCTGCATGCATTTTGATAAAGGAACATAACGGTTTTTCTGTGGCTGAAGTCCCAGGTGACACGTTAGCAGTAAAATTATTCCCCTTGTAACACCACCGTGACAGACTGACAGTGCCTTCTGCTGGGCGAGTTGGCTGGTGAAGCCTATCTGTGCACCTTGTAGATTCCTGCACCTGCATTCGTGGTGAGAAAGAGGCATCTGACCTCCTTCCTTATGCCCGTCTCTGGAGACGGATGAGGCGTCCACCTGCCACCTGCAGTTTGCTCCCTGATAATCAGTCAGTTCTTCTTATTTGAACTCTGATGTGTTTCCACAGTCCATGGAGATGAAGATTTTATGATGTGTCAATGTTTCCTTTTGGGCTTTACTGGACTGGGTTAGGCCCCATAAAGATGATTAAATTAAAAAAAAACAAATACATTAATTGATCACAAATATTAAAAATAAGATACAAGAAAATTTTATTTTTAAAAATATAGGAGAATCTTATTAGGTTTTTTTTTTTACAATGCCCATGAAACTTTTACAGATGCTGAGATTTAAGTCCTAAGGGGGTTTTTTTGGATAATATTTTTTGAAAATTGTTTTGACTTAAACTACTGTATTTATATGATACTTACCTTGATAAATTTTGAAAACTGCTACCAAGTTGTCCACCGATACTTTGAACTGCTTTCACCAAAAGTGAATGTATTTGTATTTTGCCAACGCTGCATATTATTAATTTGTGCTCTAGGACTTTCTTGTGGAATCAGGCTGAAGCTAATCTCTTGCTGAGGTGACATTTCTTCTCGGCATCCCTCTCCTGTCATTCTCTTATTGCTCTTCTCTTCAATAATAATTTGAACAAGGATTTTTATCTCAGCTATGTTCTTAGGGAACTTGACCTAAGACACTTGGTTTAAAGTGGCAAAGATCAAAACAAAGAAGAGACCAGTGGATTAAGAATGTTTTAGAGATAGAGTCTACAGAAATGGATCTGCAATAGAAGAGAAAGTTCCTAATTTTTTTTTATTACACAACTTGTTGGCTAGTGGTACTATTTGCTAAGAAGAGATGTCTAAAAGGAGCAGGTTTTCAAGGTCAAGAGGGAAAATTCTATTTCAGATATAAGTGTGAGATGTCTCTAAGTGCATACATATATCAGCTAAGTAACTGAATGTACTAATCTTTTGCTCCAAATAGCAGTCCAGTCTGAAGATCTATTTAACCATGGTATTCAAATGGTGTTTGAAAAAAATGTGACTGAATGAGGGTAACTTGTGGGACTGTAGAGGAAGAAGAGGTAGTTTCCCAGGGATGCGTACTGGCATGACAATACTGAGAGGTTTAGCAGAACAAGACTATCTGGCAAACACATTGATAAGGAGTCTGTGAGGGGCGAGGATATCACCAGAGGGCTGTGTCACAGAAACGAAGAGAATCAAGCGTTTCACGAAGGGTGTGGCCAACTGTTGAATGCAGCTGGGTGGTGGATGAAGCTGAAGACAGAGAACAGATCATAAAATACAGTGACAGGGAAGTTATTGGTGACTTTGACCAGAGAAGAGCTTGGAAAGATTCTGAGGCGATGGAAACAAAGGTAAAGAAGAGACTGAGAGATGATGAAGCAAGCACATTGATGTAGGCAACTGTTATTGCTGTGAACAGTAGGGAACAGGTAGTAAGTCAAGTGGAACAAAGAGTCCTGGAGTATTTTTTGATTGATACCATTAGAAGGGGAAATTTATATTAAAGAAGATAGGATACAACTGCAAGAGAAAGTCTTTTGATGGACAAAGAAATGATGGGACTTCATTCATGAGCAAGAGTTGGCTCTAACCTGAAGCAGAAACACTTTGGGTTTACAACAGGAGGGATGATAGTGAGTATGAGTGGAGACAGTTTCATGGATGTTGTGGTGTATGGCTGAATTAGTTTTTATCTGATTGTTTCTGTGTTCTTACTGAAATACGAAATGAAGATCCCAGCTGAGATGAAGGTCCAAGGTAGGGTCAGTTGTTTGGAGATTTGAAGAGAGAAAAATAAGAATAAAAATAATCATGTTAGAGACTAGGAAAGTTTATTTACATTGGGGATGTAGTATAATTTTCTTGCACTAGTGAATACCCCTTTGGAATGTGTGCTCATGAATTTTAAATAAAACCAGTCATCAAGTTTATGAGTTTTTTTCCCAGCCATGTTATGTGCAAACATGGAGTAGGTGATTGCTTGGGTTTAACCAGCATGAGGGTGTTGTCGGGAAAACACAGGGAGTTAAAATAATCTTCAAGGGAGTGATGATGAAGATAGGCTGTGAAATCTAAGCTGGGCTCTGAGGCAAACGAGAGGGAGAAAAGGAAAATAGGGGGGTACATGGATTTGAGATTTCTGTGAGGTGGAATGAATGGTGGAGTACAGGTATTAGAATGTATGATTTTGAAACATAAGAAGGGATAAAGAGAGACGGGGATGTTTGACATCAACATTCAGAAATATTAGTAACGTATGTGATGACAAAATCAAAAGTATAAGTTAGTGGGTTAAAGGAAATAGCATTGGGCATTCCCAATGGAAGGGAGAAACTATGGGAACACAGTATTGAATCATCTACCTGGGTATTAAAATCCCCAAACTTGGGGAAAGGAGTAGAGTTACAAAGGAGATGAAGTCATCAGTGAAACAGAGATGGGGAGCTGGCACAATGTGATATTGGTTTTATTTCATCGATTTCTGTGAGTTCTTAGTTTTTAAACTATATTTTATTATAGGGATGACATTGAAGTAAAAAAATCAAACCATAAGGCCAAATCTCCCACAACCCTACCACTTGTTCAGAGGATGTTGGATGTTGACGAAACTCTGCACTTGTTTCTTATCTGCTTATTGTAGACTGGCCAGGTGCTATATTTGCTTTGCTACTCACTCTTCATGGAAATGTGGCAGGGCTTGCTATCACCAGGAGTGTCTGCTTCTTAACCAGGGCCTGCTGAAGCAAGCCCTAAATGAACAGGCCTTCTTATCGTGCTGCTTGATTTCTACCCCAATGCACTGATCTCTCCCACATAGCTAAATGCTGGGACAACCACAATTAATCATGGCTCTAAAATAGGGCATTGGTCCTTTATTTAAATACTTGTTTCACTGTGAATGCCCTGGTTAGACAGTTACTCGTATTTTCAGAGTTGATCATTTGATTACCCTTCTTAATCCACCCAGATCTCCCTTCTGTCCAAATTATATTTACGAATTACTTGGCAAGTCTGTTCTCTCCATTCCCTGTGACCAATGAATCCTTATTCCAGGTGGTGGGTGCTGCTGCCTCCAGGTTGTCTTGAACATCTGCTGATTGTTTTTGGACAGGGAATTATGGGGAGAGTGGAATGGATGCTTTCAAAGAGCTGGCTGCCCAGGAGGGCCTCTGCATCGCCCATTCGGACAAAATCTACAGCAATGCCGGGGAGAAGAGCTTCGACCGGCTCCTGCGCAAGCTCCGGGAGCGGCTTCCCAAGGCCAGAGTGGTGGTCTGCTTCTGCGAAGGCATGACGGTGCGAGGCCTGCTGAGTGCCATGCGGCGCCTGGGCGTCGTGGGCGAGTTCTCACTCATTGGAAGGTAAATTCTCTCTCTCCCTCTCTCTCTCCCCCTCCTCATCTCTCTCTCCTTCTCCCCCAATCCCTGCACATACACACAAATTTTGGCACACACAAGCTTGATTTCACAAAACTGGACTCTAAAGGGGATCAGATGTGCTCTGCTGGGCTGAACATTAGCTCTGGATCTCACTGAGGGTGGGGCTATTGTCATTTTCCTGCTGGACAAGAGCAGAACAGTAGATGATGAGATTATATGAGTATTTCAGAAAAAGGTGAGAAGTTGTTGCCAGACTGTTTAATCCTGGAGGATTATTCTTTTCCTTTGCTTCCCACCCCTTTCACCCCACCCCAACACACATGTGTGCTTATGTCTGCACACATTATAAATCTTAACAAGTATTGGTGACTAGGGATTGGCGATGAATATGAAAATATATGTTAAGATTTAAAATGTAAAGGTTGGCTAAATGCAAATGAAAATGTGTAGCTGAACTTTGGAACTTGATGATATATAATTTCTTATATTTACGGGATGGCTAGTAGTAATTCTATCAGCATGCAATTTCTGGAATTGCAGGTGGTGGGTTCCAAAATCTCTGCTCTTCCTGAAATCTAGACCACATCTACTTGTGCGGGGGTAAAGTTTCTATATCATTGTAGTTTTCATAGGGTTTTTGACCTAAAAGGTGTCTTGTTAAATATGCCATCTTCTACTGTTGCACAAAGGAACTGGTACATTTTGTCAAGGAACCTGCTGAGTGTATTTCCAGGAAAGCCTCCTGGGACCTCTGACTCCTTTACACTCATCTTTTTACCCCTCTCCTCCGCCGGCTAGAGCACCATAATAACTCACTTGCTGAAGTACCTCAACCACTGACGCTCTTCTCCAGGAGATTGATAGTATTGGTGTGGACCTCCTTCCTGGCCCTCTCCCTTCCATCCTTGTGCTTATTGTAATGATGGCAATAGTAGTGACATCAATCTCACCCTCGTCTGGAACTAGAGGCGCAGGTCACTTCAAAGACTTTTAGAAGAAGGTAGGATAGAAATCTAACTAAATGAATAAAGTAGCGAAGAGTACTCATCAGGTGTGAGGAAGTATGGAGTCAAGGTCAAACTATACATCAAGATTAAGGAAATTATTGAAGTTGGGTAAAATGGTCATACTGCCACTAAGTGTCGTTTTGGCAGCTTCCACACGATGCATGTGTGAAGCCATTAAAGGAAGCAAGTCTTTTAAGAGGGTGTATTTAAAGAAGGAACATTATTCCCTTTATGAGTGAAAAGGACGTAAGCAGCATTGTTGAAATGTTATGAGAAATAGGTTCTTCATACATGCACCAGGACAGATTGCCTCCAGATATTCAGTCTTTATAACCCATTTGGTAAAATGGCTGCTTTAAGAAGGGTGCTTATTTAAAAAAATGCTCACGTTTACCATTTTTAAAAGAACAAGAGTCTGTTTTGCAGAATCCATTCTTTTTAACATCCCTGAAGAGGCTATCTGCCTGGGTTCTGGGGATCTTGAACAGATGTGCCAAGTATCTGAGCTTTGGGGTATATAGACTGCCTAATTGTGAGACAGAATTATACAAAATGCTGCAGTGAGTAATCAGAGTATAAGGAACTCATTTCATCAGTGCTATGTAAAAGCTGGACAAGCATGGTGATGTCAAGTTACCTCTCCTGCCAGTAATGCAGATGAGCTGATACAAGTATTTCTGAGAGTCTCACCTGTGCTTGCTCATAAAGAAGTCAGCCACATGGGATGTCTAGCTACTTCTTTTACTCCTCTTTTTCTCCGCACCACCTCTGCTGGGTTGTACTGACACATCCCAGGGAACTGTCAACACAATGGATGTTGGAGTTTCTAAGGACACTGCTCCTTACCCCGACGGTTACTATCAATGATGCATGCAGCCCTTGAGATGCCAAAGTTATGCTGCACTTGGTGCTTCTCTGCCTTTCTGGGCTCCATTCCAGGAGGGCCTCTCAGAATTCCCTTTCATATTCAAGGATCATACATTTCACCTAGTGTGCTAAAGGCTGATGCACCTTTAATCGCCCTGTCCCTCTAGAATCCATCTGCAAAACTGAAATTAATGTTTTTCTACCTCTCAGTTTGTTGTATTTGTCTAATTGCTAAGTGCCTACTTGCTTCTTAAAGCATCAGTGGGGGGTCCTCTGTGGTCCCCTCTGCTCCTCTAAAGACAGTCTTCTCTGAGGGTAAGTAAAAGTTTTCTGGCTTTAGTTCTGTGCCTGGTGTTGGCATTGTCCTGGCCTTTGAATCTGGTTTCCTGACCTTGGAAAACCCTTATTGTGTGTTTGCATTCTACCTTGCTAGAAGTCTTTGATTCTACATACTAGGTGTAGCATATTTAATTATGTATTTCCTAGCCCCTTTTATTAGGAGTACCTCTTCTAATTTCTCCATTGTACAAACTGAACATCCCACAAAGATGATAATGCCAGCAGCTTTTTATTTTATTCCCTCTCTCTACTATATCCTGGCCAATCAAATTATAAATACATGACCCTTACTTTTCAATGCTTATCCCTGATTGGTGTGCATTGTTTTATCTGTCATCTCTCCCAATTCTGTTAGCTTTTCACTGATTAGACACATTTTCCATTATCTGTCCCTGCAGAGAAATAACCTCCGGCATCCAAAACCTGATCCATACAATCCTAACACCATGGTTTTTGATTTGAAACAAACACTAAACATAAACACATTTTAAAAAAATGGTTGGAATGAAATAATTGTTTTTATCTGGGAAAAATGCTATAGTTTTACTTTAAATGAAGGAAATACTTTGTTTTTAAATGCAATTTTGGGGGGTCTTTTTCTTCTAGAATTTAAATACACATTTGGAAAAGTGACCTCTATCCTCTTGAAACCTAAGATGATATACCATGGTGTTATATTTCACACATTTTTAAATTAAAATGAGTCACTTTAGATCCCATCTTTTCATTATGAAAATAAATGGGGAAATATATCTGAGGTTTGCAGCTTTCAGGCAGAACTGCAAAGGTTATGTACTATTAAGTGGATGTGGAGTTTCAGTGAAGTGTGACACCCCGCCCCCCAAAAGTGAATTTTAATCAAGAGGCTGACAAAGCTGATGAGTGTGATTGTCACACTCACAAATGCATAACCTGGTTTTCCCTGCATTTCCAAGGGCCAAAACTGTTTACTAACCTGCTTTAAAGCATGCCTGCTCCACAGACAGGTTCCTGAGAGCTTTGTGGGTGGGTACACTGTTAGAAAAGGACTACAAGAACTGTGTGCTAGGGAAGGAGGAGGATTTAGTTCAGGTATTCTGGAGAATAAATATTATTTGTAGGATATTGACAGGTATTTTGAGTGTAGCTCTCAGCCACAGAAATGCTCAGGATTGCCATAGTAATGGGAGTGGCTGGTTTGCATTAATTTTTTTTTTGGTATTTTTTAGATTGAATTTATTGGAGTGACATTGGTTAATGAGATTATGTAGGTTTTAGGTGTATGATTCTATAACACAACATCTGTAATGGATGGTGTGCCTTCAGTGTAGGCCCGATTAGCCCTTCCTTCACACCAACACCTATTTCCATGTTTCAGATAGTGGGCACCTGAGAGCTGAGACTCTGCTGTTGTGGTCTCCACTTGCCACTCGGGTGTTAGAAACACTGACTGATGAGGGGGCTTGCCGGTGTCCTCTGCGTTGGCTGGCTCAGTTTGGGTGAAAAAGGAAGTCATTATGAGTTAGCCCAGTCTGTTTTGGAGACCAATCGAAGACAACAGGGAATTTATCTCAGTAATACATTTTCTGAGTTCCTACAACAGTCAGTTCCCAGCCACGCAGCACACCAGAAGCTGCAGGGAGGAGGATTTCGATCACAGATTTCTGGATCTCACCCCAGGCCGTCGAAGACTTTCTGGATGAGGCAATCTGCACTTTCTTCCTAGTCTTTGCTCTTTAAAGCCCCAAAGATGCGGTAGGTTTCAGAACCGTGGCCCCGTGAAGCCTACTACCTCAGTGCTCAGATGGTGTTCTGTCTGACCAAATTGCTGACAGGACAGACTTGAAAGGGAGGATGAAGAGGAACTTTAACCCCACCTCTACTTCTTGACTTTATTTACCATCCAGATTTTCTTTTAAATGTAAAGACACATCTGAGAGAAGTAAATATTAATAGTAAAAACAGCACAGTGGGAGTAGTCATGGTAACAAACACTATGGGCGACTCTGCTCTCTGTCTGCTGCTGATGCCCAGACTGGGCTACCGACCTGCCCCCCGAACACATAGTCATGCCCCAGTTTTCAGACTCATCAAGAGGCAGCGTAGGAAGCATCGAACCTACAACAGGTTTAGTCTCAGCCATCTCTTTGAGTCTAGGGTTACCCCAGGTGACCAACTGCTACGTCTTGCTAATTGCCAGCATTGGGGTCAGATGGCTCAGTTGCTCCCTAAACCTGTCGGCCCATATCATGAGCCTGGGGAGGTTTAAACATTTTTCAGCTTCCTTGGCCTTACCTCCCATAGATTGTGACTCAATATTGGGATGGATCAAGGAGTTCATGTGTACTTTTACATCAGCCTTATTGAAATTCACCAATTTTCAGTATATAATTTGATGATTTTTGGTAACTATATAGTGATGCGAGCACCAGAAAAATCGTAATACAGAACATTTCTGTCACCACAGAATGTTCCCGAGTGCCCTTGGCAGTCACGCCTCTCCAACCCCTGGCAACCAGCGATTAGCGTTCTGTTGCTATTGCGCTTTTGCCTTTTCTAGAATTTCACAAGTAGAGAATCACACAGAATGTAGTCTTTTATAGCTGACTTTTTTACAATTGGCAAAATGCTTTCGAGATGCAACCATGCTGTTATACATATTAGTAGCATCTTTATTGCTGAACCACATTCCGTGATGTAACATTCCCATACTTGTCTTTGCATGGACACATTTAATTCTCCTTAAGAGTTATCTAGAAGTGAGATTACAGGTCACCGGGCAGTTGTATA